ATTGGTGAGATGAGAGGGAAATACAAGGGAAAGGTGAGATAAGGAACGGTAGGGAGAAATAAATAAAGGGTTGCATGAACCCTTCCTTCTAAGGGCTACACACTTAGTAAAAAGGCTCAAAGTGGTCTTAAAGATGGGCATGATTTCTATATTGTAAGTGAGGGCAAGAACCTCACAGCAAATGTGTAGACCAAGCATGTCAAACTCAAAGGCTAACATGGGCCAAATAAGGCATGGGGCCTGCGGGCTGCGAGTTTGACATGCTTAGTGTAGACAAAGAAATGAATGTGCTGGATTGGGGTTGGAGAAGAACATTAAAAAAGACTGACTTTCATATAGGTTTTTAAAAATTCTATCTTACATCCTGGCCGGGTAGCTCAATTGGTCAAAGTATCATCCTGAAAAGCCAAGGTTGTGGCTTATCTCTGGTCAGGGCTCATACAAGAACCAAGCAATGAATGTATCAATACACAGAACAACAAATCAATGTTTTTCTCCTTCTCCTTCTCTCTAAAATAATTAAATTTAAATTTTATTCTAAAAACTCCTGTCATAATTTAACAAAATAATGGCTCTAACAAATATAATGACGTCAGGGATTGAAGGCTACATGACAACAGTAATGTATGGCCCTGCTTTCAATGGTCAATGGGAATTCTTGTTAAAAGAAATGTAATAAGCATTAATAAGCATATTAATATGCTCCAAGCTCTATGAGACAGGAAAGGATGAACAGGGCCCATCTCTGATCATGCAAAACCTCAGCGGACACAGCAGAACCATCACTTAGTTCTCAGGCAAATTATAATTGAGAGCTGAGGAAATTATTTTACCTTAATGGGTCCTAACTGGTGACCTGGCCAGAAATGAGAAGTCAAGCTGGGGTCAAAAAAGAGAGCAGCTAAGGCAGAAGTGGGAGGAGAGTCACCTGAACTGAGTGCCAGAGCAAGTCTGCCCTTAACTGCAGGCAGCTGGGTCAGACAGATGGAGGAGAGGAGATGTGAGTAGAAAAATCAATGTCCTTGGGTCCTTTCCAAGAGCAGGGGAAAAGGTGCCAACCAAAGGAGAGAAAGAATTCAAGTTTTGGCTCTGGCAGGACAGTATGGGACTATACTCCAGAAAACCATATTTTACCATTCTTTATAAAGCTAATCATATAATAATTGCAATGAACCATTTATAGAGTGCCTTTGAGGTACTTAGCATGACATTCAGCAATTTACTTACATTATTTCATTTAATTCATACATCTTATAAGGCAGGCATTTTTATTGCCCCGTTTTTAAAAAACAGATTTTTATTGATTTCAGAGAGGAAGGGAGAGAGAGAAACATCAATGCTGAGAGAATCACAGATCAGTTGGCTGCCTCCTGCACACCCCTACTGGAGATGGAGCTCACAACCTGGGCATGTGGCCTGACTGGGAATCTAACTGTGACCTCCTGGTTCATAGGTTAACACCCAACCACTGAGTTACACTGGCCAGGGCTTACTGCCCCCATTTTAACGATTAGGAAATTGAGTCTCAAACAGCTGAGCCCAAAATTAATGTAGCCTGAAAGTGGCAAAGCTAGAACTTGAATTCAGAACTTTCTATAAAGTTAAAAATAAAAAACAAAGAAAGGTCTGTTTGGCTAGCTTAATCCTTCTGCCACAAGGTATATCAGACTAGCTCTGGTGCTATTTAATTATTCCAGATTGGTGACTTCAGAGAAATCCTTTAGGAATCCTACAAGACATAATAGGTACAAGGGACTCTGAACCTCTCTAAGCAAGTGGCTGTGGGAAGATGAGAAATTCCCTCTAGCTTTTAGATTGCCTTCCCCCTTTCTTAGCTATTTTTCTCTTATCTGCCTTTTCTCTCATAGAAAGCTTAAACGGGTGACCAACATTCTAAAAATATCATCTATAACCACCTCCAAACTGGGAAAACCTCTATAACCACTAGGTCCTATGTCTCATAATCCCCAATCAGCACTCATGAAGTGTGCACTCCGTCAAAGTCAGGCAGACATTAAACTCTTACTGACTTCCTTGTACAAATGCTTTGCTCAGTATCATAAATAAAAAATCTTCTTAGCCTGGCCAGTGTGGCTCAGTGGTTGAGCCAAGAGGTCACCAGTTCGATTCCCAGTTAGGGCACATGCCCGATCCCCAATGGGGAGCGTGCAGGAAGCAGCCCATCGATGATTCTCTGTCATCATTGATGTTTCTTTTTTCTTTTTTAATTTTTTTTTCTTTTTTAAAATATATTTTATTAATTTTTTACAGAGAGGAAGGGAGAGGGATAGAGAGTTAGAAATATCGATGAGAGAGAAGAATCGATTAGCTGCCTCCTGCACACCCCCTACTGGGGATGTGCCTGCAACCAAGGTACATGCCTTTGACCAGAATCGAACCTCGGACCCTTAAGTCCCCAAGCTGACTCTCTATCCAGTGAGCCAAACCAGCGAGGGCTCTTTTTTCTTTTTTTTAATCTCTCTCTCTCCCTTCCTCCCTGAAATCAATAAAAACCGATTAAAAAAAAAAAAAACAGAGCCACACCCAGGGGCTAGTGTCAATTGTTTCCACTGGCCACAGAAGCATAGTAGAAGACGGAAGACTAAACCTTCAACTTTTTCACTGCCTCTAAAATGTAAGGACCTCAAACAACTTCTGAAAAAGCCAAGATTCAGTATATCCAGCATAGTGCCAGGCACAAGGGAGTGGTCCTCAAGTATAGAAGCTCTTCCACCTTCCAAACTTCCATACAAAGGTCATGCTAGAACTAGATGATGCCTGCCACCAACAGGCATGTGGTATCCTCTTGCATGAGCTCACTTTGGACCCATGAATGAATGGACTAGCCCAGCCTTTAGGAAGGTAACATACCTGACCTAAGATGCTCCTGGGCTTGATGAACTGAGGAGTGCTAACCAGACCCAGGAAT